AAATTTCATTATTAAATTTACCAAAGTACAGAAAATTTATTTAGTGATAAATTTATGATGTTAAAAAAATTGATAAATTGAACTATCAATTGAATCTATCACTAAATAATGTTGTGATGTTTTGGTGAAATTTCTTTCAAGTCATCATAATTAAATAATTTTTATTAAAACCCACGAAATCTGATCTCTTTTAATTTGGTTTACATTCAACTAAATCTGTTGTAATTAATGGTAAAAATACATATAGTTTAAAATAAAAAATAAAATACAAGTGACCGGTCTTTGTCTTTGAGTAGCTTTGTTTTAGTTTTTAGTTTGCATAGTTATGTTTTTATTTTAGTTTTGATAAAACTAAATAACATATAATACTTTGGTGTGTCTGTTGGTACTCGATTACAGGCACAATCAAACATACTCCCAAATTCACGCTATTAAATGCATTCGCTCAAATTAAGTCCGGAGTCCAAAAAAGAAAAAGTATATGTTTCCGGGATCATATTAGTCTAGTTTTAAGGTGTGCTTTTATTAGTGTTCGACCAATTTGCTTCTTTTTGGAGTTTAATTAAGTTCTCTTAGTTAAAATTAGTTTAACTTCTCTTTGAATAATTAATGTTTCCAAAGAATGTAAGCGTTACGGTTCTAAAGGAGCTTATGGGGTCTTTTTAATTTAAAATAAAAACGTTCTTTTTAAAATTACTTTTCGCTCTCAACACTCCACAAGCCAGCAGGTCTTCGCGTTGTGTCGACAAATCCTCATCATATCTGCGACCTACCTTCATGTCGTGTGGCGTTCGACCACGTCTGGCATGAGGGTTTCCTACCATACAAACTAAAGCGCGTCCTTTCAAACACCTTATCCTTCGTTCCTACATTTCTGGACGATTCTTGCGAGTTTGCCAATTGTCGAGTTACTCCGACCAGTGTCCTATGGGAATGTATGGCCGTCTGTACCACGGGGTAACTAAACAGTCCAAATTCAGCCCTAGTTACACTGGGAATGGATTCGTGGTGGCGCGTGGTGAAGCCCCTGGCGGGAACTTAGAGGCTGTCTTCTATCTGTGACCTTCGTGAAGCTTGCGTATGGCCAGCGTAATTACCCCCGGCCTCACGGGAGACGTTGCGACCGGACGACAGCGTGTAAGCGTTGAGGACGCGATGATCATGCTGAATAGTCCCTCGAATGCGTGAGTAAGCGAACGGAAACGGGTAGTGAGTGAATCGGTGTCTCGGACTCGAGTATGCTTTGCATTGTTGTGCGTATGACCGGCGTGGTACCCTTGGGGAAGCGAAGAATCGGACCACCTAGGCTGAGTCTATGGCGTCCCTCGAATGCACATGGCAGGTGTAGGCTGAGCTCGATAAAAGACTTTACCGTAGGCGGTGCTCATCTAGGGTGTGGTTAGCAATTCCCGGAAGTTTCTACGCTAGGGGAGCCCCTATACTCAGGGAGATAGAGTGGCCTTCTCTATCTAGGGAGTACGCGGGAGAACAGGCTGATGTATTTCGGCCTGTTAGCCCTTTGCGTGCGGCATACGACCCGATGCTCAATGCGGGCCCGACCTTTCGGAGTGGACAAGCGGAGAGCGAGGTTGACTAGGCCATTAGAGGCTGGGGCGCCTCTACACCAATGCTGCGACGGTAACACCATTCCGTCGTATGTGGAGGGGCGTCAGCTCTCATCTTGAGAAGATCCTCTTGTCTTGTTGACGGTGAGTTCTCGGGAATGGAATGTCCTGTGGGAGCGGGAGAGTCACAAGGTAATGTGCTCGGACCACTCCTGTACCTGATCTACATCTCAGAAATACCAACTACACCTTCTACCTTCCTTGCACCCCTTGCAGACGAGACAGATGTGCTTTCCTCTAATGCCGATCCTGCAATTGCCTCGGAGGAGCAGCAAGGTCCAACGAATAATTGAATGGAGCAAACTTTGGAGGATAAAAATTAACGAAAAATAATGCACTCTGTTTCATTTACCCTCATAAGAAAAACACATCACAAAATGTTCCGCAGCAACATTCCTCTCCTCCTCAAAAAAATACAGAAAACTACTCAAACCGATTTGGACATATGTACTAGAACTAAGAGGTATCGACAAACCTACCAATATCCAACGAATTCAGTCCTTCCAATCCAAAGTCCTCAGAATCATAGTCCGTCTCTCTACTGTGTCTTTAATATCCCCTCCAAACAACTTCAAAATAACCTCACTAAATGTTCTAAGTTCCACGATAAACTATCCACTACACCAAGTCATTACCCTTATCCATGGCCAACATAACCAATCCCTATAATCCAGTCAGACGACTAAAACAAAAATCGCCAAGAATTGGCCTTGTGTAAAATTGGGGGTTGGTAACTCACCTCAAAGCATGGTGTTGCAAATATGTATAAAATCCATAAAATTACAAAAGGTCTTATTTTCTACAGTTGGTAATAAATATTTTATACAAAGCAAAGTCTTCCAGATTAATTAATCAAGACGTATTAACGCCATTACTAAGTTTGGGGGTTTTATTTTTTCCAAGTATCCATTATTTTTATTTATTTATTTTCTTGGAAGGGTTTTATTTTTTTAGAAAGATCTTTCAAGGTTTTCATTTATTTTCATTTTATCAAATAACCGTTATTGCCATTTCATTTATTTTTCCAATTTTTAGAATTTTATGGTGGCTTTCAATCAGGTCATAATTGATGTTATTAAGTTTTTACCTCGAAACAATCAATCTATATTTGTGTAATTCGTATTTTCTCTTTGAAAAAAAAAAATGTTTTTATGCACAAATCACCTTCTATTTACGGTCATGTGTGTGAGTGTACCTAAGAAAAGTATAATTATATATCTGTAAAAATCCTACTGTACTAATAGCATTCAGAACAATGAAGGGGCAGTCAAACCACATAGAATATTTTGATGGTGCTGCCATCTCTTGACAACCAACCGAGCCACGACAATGCTGACATTCAGCATATTCTTACTAACAAATGTAATCTATTGTAGTTTATGAGCACATTAAAAATTACATTATTGCTAAGATTTGTATAACTCAATTAAAATTTAATTTTTCTACTAGAGTTTGTCATTTGTATTTATGGTATGTATTGGATTTTGAGGAGATCCAGTGAATGTTTTATGTTTTTGTACAAAAGCATGTTTAAATAATTTTAAATTTATGTTTGGGAATAGAAGACAAGTCGTTTTCTGAGTAACACCAAAACGTCTATTATATAAAAAAAAATTATTTTCTCAATAAGCAAGAAATAGTGGCTTTATGCAAACAAAAAAAAAACACGGGTTTATACTTTGCTCTGTTATATTATTGATGACTTGATACGATAAAATCTAATAGAAATTCAATTTGTCAATTGATAGATACAAGACTTTTTATATAAAATTTATGCACACACAATGTAAATAGGCATAGACATAACATGTTATTTATGTTTGAAATTGATCATCCCACTGATTGTAGATAATTAGATGATTATTGTACATAGTAAATAGACAGTAGTTAATGTTTTGACAATGCAGCCAATTGTATATTCATATTGGGAGGAGTGATGTTGATAAATGAATTGTATATACAAATCAGGGATAATGCAATTGTTTTACCTTTTGTTCCAAAGTCAAAGACACAACACCAACAGCCAATAAATCCGATGTAATTTATAAAGTTAATCTTATGAACTATCCAGCTACATTCGACTACATTTGAATTACATCGCAATATCTATAAAAACGAAAAAAATATCTATGATAGTGTAATAATCCCACAGCATTGTCTATCCACCATTTTGAAAAACAACACAACTTTGATTTCTAGAAAATGTAAATACTAAACATTGAACAAAACAAATACAAACGCAATTTTCTAAAAATGTGGTCTAAAAACAGACACACATAATTAATTACAGAACAGATACAGACAAACGCAGACGTAGCTACGCCAACATCATATCTATTAAACTTTCTTTTTATATTTCCGTTTATTTAAAGCAGTTGCACATATCACCTCGCTGTAGATAGGAAAAGTGTGCTTTTTGGTTCATTTTGAATGTAATACTGAATGTACCGAATAGGTTGTAAAATTGATTTACTTCCAGGAATTAAGATTTTCACTCATAATGCGAGTTTGACAAAAAAATGACAAAATGTAAACAATAACGCAATTAATGTTTTATTTAGTCAAAAAGCAAATTACAGGAATTAACAACGAAACAAACGAATGCGTTTTTTTTTCAAATTTTTGCCACAACTTTGTCATTTTTTGATTAATGTAAAATCGGATTGCACCACTGCTTTCAGCGCAAAATATCCTTTAAAACGGTTTGTCAGGATGTATTGGGTCGTATTTGAAATTTTGAAGTTGAACTGGGCCGGAGGTACCCTGCACAGTTTTTCTGCAAAAAAGGTAAAACTTTGAAACTAGACAAAAAATATGAAAAAAGGTATTCGTTATTGTTTAGATAACGTCATTGACTCAAGAGACATTCAGCTGGGCCAACTTAAAATGACACCCTTTATATATTTTTTTAAGCATTTACAGTTTACGACTAATTTACATTCCTGAGCATGTGGGTTTTTGTTTAAATTAATTCCCCTCCCCAAATCTGACATGTTTGTTTTTAAAAATCACGCTGTTTATATCTACCACTTTGCCAAAGGATGTTATAGCGACCCGGAACGCATTCTTTGGTAAAATTAACACTATTAATCTTCACTTTTATCATAAATATATCAGGTTTTTTTTTAATAAGAAAACAAGTACTTTCCGGTGTAATTTACTTGAAAATAAATTCTACTCCAGAACTGCTGTTTGTAATTTTAAAGTAATTTCCCCATCCCCGGTTAATAGAGAGCATTTATTTTCTCCTTAATCATAACGAGATTATTGCAACCTGATATTTGTTTTCGGACAAAATCATTATTATTAAATTATTTGTCTGCCACTAATGGGAGTTTATCGGCAGAAGGGTTCCTATAAAAGCGAAATCCTGCCTCCAGAATGTCAGTTCCCGACTAAGCAGGTTACATCAAGATGAATCCCATAGTGAGTAACACTGTCAATATTGGATAATTTTAAAAATTGTATAGTAGGAGACTATTAATAATCAGTTGTTTGCTATAGATTCTTTTCTGCCTTATTGGACTGGCGGCTGCTGTGCCCCTGGAACACAGGTATATTTTTATAAAATTTAGCTCATATTTTTTGACTAAGCCAATTCAGTGGGAACAGCTTTTTTATGCAAATTTTTTATCAATGTTTATGCAATTTTTCTTTTATTAATCAGTAATAATATTTGTTAATAATCATTTTATTGTTTATAAAATACCTGAGCTGTAAAAAAATGCATGGCGGGCGTAGGTGGCCGCAACGGTTTAGGCGTTGACACGGCGCTCATCGTTGTAAGGTGAAGGTCCCAGGTTCGAATCCAGCGGCCCTGCATTTTGCACACGGGATTAATAATACTCCGATAAATTTTTTTATGAGAATCTATATAAGTTTTATTCTGGCTTGAAAATTAGCTGGAAGTTAATTATACATGCATGTTTCAGCTAGTTATAAATTTTTCTAAAGGAAATTTTTGGTTGGTTGCAGTTTTTAAAATTAAATATTTATGACAATAAGACTTAGTTAATCTTAGTTAATGGGCTTTTTTTGCACCCCGAGGGTTGATATAACCTCTGCTGTTGCGAACCCTCGTAAAAAATAAATAAATACATAAAAATGCTACAAACCTTGCCGAAACCTTTTTTATTGACACGCTTCATAAAACCTACTTCATAAGTGATTTTTAACAGAATATTGCTCGAATTTCAGTGTAGCCGTTAAAACCGAAGGAGTTGTCGGCGTCCATGATGCATCTGGAAATGTTGTGCCCACAGTCGTCGGCACTACCCCTGTCACGGGCAGTGTCGTACAGTACCCATATTACCAAGGAGTGCTGAGGACCACGGGCGTCCAATACCCAGTCTACCACGTCGGAACCACCGGAGTTCAGTACCCAGTGTACCAGGGAGTCGTCAAGACCACAGGCGTTCATTACCCAGTATACCATGGAGTCGTCCCACAGTCTACTGTCCATTACGTATACTAATCATACATCGATACTGTTCTGAAAAATATTAAAGCTTTTTAAATCACATTTCTGATATTTTATTACAATTTCTTTGGATTTACCTTAAAATTTACAAACATGAAGACGGTAGTGCAAAATTGTCATCATAGGTATTTGAAATGATAACAAGAAGATAATATGTATATAATATTGATGGATGCATCTTATTACTTCTTCATCGAGCCACTATATTTTTAATGCTGCAAGTAACATATTCTTATATATAACATATTCTCTTTCGTACGTTTTCGAAAAAACAATCATTCAACAAATCTTGATATTCCTTTCTAGGTCAGGTAAAAACACCAAATAAAGTTTCATCTTAGAATCCAATTATTAACTACTAATATTAAAAAAATATTTCAATTTAGACATACAATTGTTTACGTATTTCTAATCAACAGGTTATTATAAAACGATTTCAAAATTCTGACAAGATAATTTTTTTCACAGAACAACACTTTTTTTAATATTCTTTTAATGTAATAGTATTCTTCCAGGGCACTACGTTTAAAGTAGATGAGCACTTAGCGGTTTCCTTTAGAGTCTTAGCCATTTTACCTTGAGGTTAGTATCGCTTTTCCAAAGAAGATACCGGATTAATGCTTTACAGTTACATAGGACATGCTCCAAAGTCTCTGTTGTTTCATAGCAGCGTTGTTATTATTATTATTTTTTATTATTATTCAAAGGGACAAGGCCTGTACAAATACCTATTATATTCCATAATTCTTGCGTGCTGAGAGAAGGGCAAATTGTTGTTTTCCGTTTGAAACATTGCAGAACCTCTTTGATTATTTTGCACTTGATGAATTCATCCAGTGTGTAGTCATTTCTTTCTTCATCCATTTGGGGTTCAAATTGTACCAGGAATGGTTCTTTTTACTTGTCATCCTGTTCGTTGCTGTAAATCACTCCATGTTATGATACCGACTAGAATTGAAGGAAGAGTCGACAGCCTTCAGTGTTACTTGACTGACTGATAATATGTATGTTGTGCACATCACGAACACAATGGATCAAGGTATGGTCTTGAAGAAAAAAGAAAATTCATTTGTTACTGCCAAGCTTCCCACCTATTTTAAGATCATCATAACAGAAGAACTATCTTAAATATCAATACTGTTACAGTCCTTGGCAATGTTAGAGATCTCCTGTAAAAAACTTTTATGTTATTCTTTAGACATAGTTAAGATTGCTTTTCTCTAAAGATGACCTAAGGTAAATGTTACCTTCTCTAATGCTTGACGGTAACAACTATATTTGTTTGTGTCTTCAAGACCGTAGCTTGATGCAGAGTAACCTTTCTGTGGCATAGGAACCCACACTATCAATGAGCATCTCAGACAGGACAAAAAGAAAATGAAAGCACAATGGTATTCACTCATTGAACACAGGCAATCCAAGAATTTCCTTACAAATTTCGGAAGAAAAGAAATTACAGAATGTGTCAAAGGAAGCAGGAATAACCTGCGAATCCTAATAGGATTCTTAACAGGACACTGCAAGCTAAATGGACACTTAAAGAAGATGGGAATAATCCAAGATGGCACATGTAGATTTTGCAAAGAGGCTGAGGAGACATCAACACACCTACTATCTAACTGCGGTGCTACACTTGCCCGCAGGATGAAGTGCTTTGGGATGTACAATGTGACCATAGAAGAGATTCAGCCATTGAAACCGGGCCTACTAATTAAGTTCCTGGATGAAATAGGACTCACCGGTGTATTTAGGCAGAGAACGGGGGATACAATAGCTCTTAAAGGGCACAGTATATTACACCCCGACTATTACTTCTACATCTACATCTTGATCCAGAGAGTTCGTGAGTCGTGAGTGAAAAAGTGGTCAATACTAATAACAATGAAAACAGAAATATGTACCTTTTAATGCTTATTTCGTATTTCTTGTGAATGGATCTCAGCTCTAGAGGGTTCGATAGGTAAAACAATTGGCATTTGATTCCTTCCCCGATTCTATGTTTCATTATGGACCTATCTATACTATATAATAAGGGGTCCTCTATGATTTTCAGGGTTTTTATTCTTCTAAAAATTTATTCTTGTTGTGTCTAACCTATTAAGACTAAATTTCTCGTCAAATTCTAAATATTTTTTTTAAATTTCGAATTATGCTATTCATAACGACCTTCACTTCCCGTTTGTACATGACCTAACCAAAACCAGCTAAAAAATATTTCATCATTTACAAATTATGACCAAACATTTGTTGGTGCAACTGTCAATTCCAACCTTAACAAATAATCTTCTAAGATAATTACACGAAAATGGTACCTTCCCAAAGAAAAAAATGAAGGGGTTTTAGTATAAAGAGGTGTTATCACTGGGCCACTTCTACAAATCGCTCAATAATTATTAGGAAATAATTAATTAACGCAATCTTTGTAGTTGTATACAAAAAATAAAGCTAATTAAAACCAATTTAAAATAAAATTTCGTAACATTGTTTTAGACCAATTAGAAACAAAGCAAAAATTCGTTGACTTAAATATAGTTGGCACCCTACATATCATCCTTCCTTGTATAATAATTGAATTAACTTCTTTTTAGTAGTTTCATATTTTTTAAGGCACAGAAGACCTAAAAACGTGCCAATCGAGAGAAAACTTTTCACATTGTTTTTCGGCCCAACGCAATACTTTCTCCTTCTTCAAAGGGAAAAATGAAAAAAATAACTTGATTAGAATTCATGAAAAATGAATAGTTTCAATACTTTAATTTCAAAAAGAAACACATTTTTCATATATTTCCAAAATATTGTTTCGTCATAGTCTGCAATGTAACGCATACATAGTCACCAACATTAACGAATATGAAAAATTAATCACCAACTTAGAGGTTATCACATCTAGAGATCGAATAAGTAGATTAGAGGCAGAAATCAGAAAAGCACCAGAAGGACATGTCTAATCATAAAAAATCATGGGCCGACTGAATAAAGTCTTCTAAAATATTTAATATTATACCTAAATTAATTTAATTTTTATGAGGTTATATGAACCCTCAGGGTGCCGATGTTTTTTTGTTTGTTTTTTAAAAAGCCCATATGTAAGTATGTTGGGTTCTAATTCAGGGCCACTGGATTCGAACCCGGGACCTTTACCTTACAGAGATGAGCGCCGTGTCAACGCCTAAACCGTTGCGGCCACCGAACTAGAATAACAATTAAAAACAAAGATATTATAATTTATGTTGTATATTGTCGAACGCCAGTACATAAAAAATTATGATCATTAATAAGGAAGATGGACGATTACAAAATTCAACAACAATTATTGACAACTATGTTTTATTTTGTGAAACTCAAATAAGAATGAATAATTTTGTGGTTGATGAGGGAGTGATTGCTCAGCGATGGGACATCTTTAGACCAATTGATCTAGTGGTCAACGTTCGTCCTGTAACATAATTAGCTATATATTTAATGCGTCCAAGCAGTTATTAGCAAATTATACCTAGGGAAGTGGGGAAATGGCACTCTCCTTAGGAATTCGGTCGGAAATGGACGTTTGTAATCGTTAGTGTAATGTGGGAAGTGAGTAGGAGCGCATTTCGAGTAGAAGTAAGGATAATACGGGTGTTCTGGGGAGAAAGTTCGTGGTGCGAAGAAGCCGTCATTGAAGTTGGCTGGAAACGGGTACTGGTAGCGGTTGTTATATTGCGGGAATTTGGAAAAATCGCCGTGGTAAGGAGGATAGTTGTAGAAGGGTGCCTGAAACTCGGGGTTACAATAAGGGAAATTATAGAATGAAAAAGGGTAGTAGGGCCCTGGATAAAATGGGTAATGGACAGGCTCGTGCAATTCGGGCAAATCCACAGGCTTCGATGGAACTGGTTTGGCCGACCCAACTGTAGGTTTTGCGGGCTGGGTGTAATCTGATCCTCCTTGATTTACTGATCCTTCTACGTGTAATGATGCAGTTGTCGCCGACTCTTTTTGGTTCTTGTCAACAAACCTAATAAAAAATTATAAAACCTTATAGCAGGTGTTTGAGTTACATTAAAAAAATAATAATAATAATAAACACTTACTGCTCACGTACTACACTTTCAACATCGACTGCAACGGCAGCACCGATGATGCACAGCAAGATCTGAAAAGCAAATAACGAAATGAATCATTGTTCATTTTCAGGGATCGATGAAGAACTCACTAGGGCCTTCATATTGATCTGAAAGAAATCACAAATCTAACGTTGAATCCTCTAGCTTTTATAGTGATCCTGATAGCACTAATTGCCCCTTCAGACTACCATTAACAGTTAATTAAATGTATAATAGCATGTTTTTGTATTTTTCTATTTCAATATTTCTGCTAAATGATACAAGCTTTTTAGATAAATTTTGAAATGTTAGTGACTTTTGAATGCGTAAACTAGCATATAAATAACTGACTGAATTAAGAAAAGAATAGATTTTTTCTCAATAAGAATGAAATTCCTATTAATCCAAACTATTTTCATTATAACAGTGTTAATACAATTATTTTAATAAAACGAAAAATTTAATAATATTATTGTCAATTTTTTAGGCTTAACAAATAATATACTTTCAATTTACAATTAATTTATGAAGGCCAGGTTTCTGCTACATCAGTTGAGTGGTTTCAAAGGTACCATACATTCTGCGATTTTTCGACCAAATATGGGGAAAAGTAAAATGTTTGATTTTTCACGAAAATGTTGAGAAAAATATTAGTTTTTGAATTTCCCAAAACTTTATATTTATGGTTGTTTTTTTTGGGATGATAACGTATATTATTTTTTTACCTAGACAATGCTATGATTATACAACAGTTTTTTTTTTTTTTTTTTTTTTTTTTTTTTTTTTTTTTCAAAAGCCCATTTGACAGAATGTCGGATTCGAATGCAGGGCCGCTGGATTCGAACCCGGGACCTTTACCTTACAGTGATGAGCGCCGTGTCAACGCCTAAACCGTTGCGGCCATCGATGCCCCAAGACAGAAGTTAAACTCACTCAGTTCCACAATGTACCTTAGTGCAGTCCAAAATCCATTTTGTATGATAATCAGTTCTGCATGGGCATAGACGTTGATTCTTCCCATTAACATAACTGATGGTCTTTGAAAAGCTGAGACTCAAGGCACATGAAACAAAGAGTTCTCCAGGTCTTCTCCACACAAGATCCCGGTCATCTGATTACCACAAACCAAACTGGCACTCATATGTGGAGCAAACAGCCCCAAATTGTTCAAGCGTCAAAGCGAGATGCTGATTTGCGGAGAGTCGCGTTTCGTTTAGATAACTTTCTAGTATTAGAGAATCTAAAACGGAACGTGTAGAGACAAAGCTGTTCTCATGTAGCCTTCTGATGACATTAAATATTACATTACGGACAGTTTGGAGTTGACTACTAATCAAGGACGCCTTTAAATGGCGGTTCCGTATTGCGATGAAAGCAATAAAATGATTGTCCCTAGCCGTCGTAAATAGCGAGACTTCCGGTGGTCCTAACCTTACCTATGTAACGGACTCTACGTGCGTCGTTGGCCAAAGCATCTGTCCAGGCGAAATCTTTTCGACTTAAAACCAAGCTTTTAAGAAAAAAAAGAATTCAAATTTATTGTTTCATCAAAGAATACAATTTAAACACCGAATGAACTCACTCGAAGAGTTGACTCTGGAAAGGATGAAATTGAAATGATTTTCTTAATTTTACATCTAAAACGTGTAAAAGAATTATTAACAATCTAAAGGTAAACAACAAGAGATTAATTTTTGTGTTTATGTTGTGTGTCAACTATTAATCTTTATACCTAGTTATTAAAGAACATAAACAAATATACTGATTGAAAAAATAAATGCATTTAATAAAATTAAAGTTTAATATATTCAGGTTTATTCAAATTTTACATACCAAAAATAGATTGGTTGTAAAAATAAGACATTTAACAGAAAATGTTTATTGTCTAATTCTTTAAAAAAATATTGATTAAAGAACAAAAAACAGGAAATTCAAAAACAAATAAAAATGTAAAAATTTATTTGTTCCCTTAAATATCGAGCATTTTAACCTCTGGCACGTATCGCGTCCGTTAACCGCCTTTGCATTCCTTTGAAAAAGTTCCTGATAAAATCTGAAGGAATTCTTTCTATTTTTTTCCATCTTTCCACAGCCGTTTACAACTCTTCTAGGGGTTTATGATCTAACTTTTCGCTTATGTGTTCCATTGGGTTCAAATCTGGACTTCCAGCTAGCCACACTGTGCGCTCAATTTCAAACACATTCAGGTGGTGATCCACAATACGTGCTCTTTGGGCCTGGTATTGTCCTGCATTAGAAAGAATTTTTCGGCGATGTAGGGAGCAAATGGTTGATGTCTTTTAAATAACTCTGTGAAATAAAAAGTATTCCTCGCACAACCAATTCGGTGCGAGCGTCCAAGGCCCGGAACATCAATGACCCACTGTGGTATGACACCTGAGGAACCATCCAGCATGGCCGGCACCTTTCTCCTGAGCTTCACCATATGAAATTACCCCCATGAAAGATTTGAGGCCAACTCTCACCCAATTTGTACAGAGAACTTATCCCTAATTTTCCATTTTAATTTTCAATTTACATGTTCCTGTACGAATTGAAGCATTTTCTGAGCTGTGGTAAGAAGAGGTTCATGAGCCGAGTGCCTGGCCCTTAGATGGTTTTCATAGAATCTTCTTACAGTCCTGGAGGAAATCAAAACATTTCAGACTTGTGTTATCAGATTTCTTATCTCATTTTTTTTAATCTGCGGTATCGTCTAGAATCTATCGTCTCTCTCGTCTGTAAACATAGGGCGACCCTGGGCCGGGCTTTCTAGCGTGAAGCCCTGTTTCTCTGAAGTACCGATGAACCAATCTATTTACACTCAGTCTCTGGCAGCTTCGCGCTGGCGATAACAACCTTCCTCTAATAATGTAATGACCCTGACACTGTCATACTCAATCAAATGCCTGACTTGAACCATTGAAAAAGTTTAAGAATAAGAATAATGAAATCAAGGAAGGAAAAAGATTAACTGAAAGCGATTTTTAGGCCTAGCAGAATAGAAATGGATAATGCTATTGGGTTGTCCGGAAAATAATGCAGGATTTTAAGTTTTCATTAAAAAAAATCTATATAAAATATTCTGTTTACGTTTACAGGATNGTATGGGAAATTATTTTGATTAAAGAACATTGCTTTAAAGTAACTAGTTTCTTTTTTTTTGTTTAATACCAAAATCCTGCATTATTTTCCGGACAACCCAATACTTTTTGTGTAAATGGGATTAATTAGTACAAAAGTAAATAAAGGAAGTAAACAAACCATTATTTTCTGTTTATTTTGACTAGTTGCTAATAACCTATAAGTAATGTGGAAAGATAATGAATTTCATTTTAAACTATATAAATTGAGTGGGTGCTTAAATTTGCCCATCAGTGTAAAACTTACCTACCTAGATTTTATATTTGAGAGAATAAAAAATTAATCCTGTCTTTTAATATTTAATTTTATATAATATTTAATTTTGATTGCAATTAATGTTCATATATTTTCTATAATTTTTAATTGTATATAACTTTTCATTTTATTTGTAAAAAATATTTGATATAGTTTTTAAGTTTTTTTTATTGCTTGAACGAAAGCGTTAACTTGAAATTACAAAAGGCTAATTTAATGATAAATAAAGGACAATTTGAAGATAAAAAACTATAACATCATCCTTCAATATTACAACATTGTGTTTAAAATCATTAAATGCTTTTTTTAAATAATTATTTGCCAATACGTTATTCTAAAATAAAAGTCTATAGACGAATCGGGCACATCATTCAACACTGTACCATTACGTTTGACCAAATTTAGTCGTTGCTATCATCATCATCGATCATTTTGGCCTTTCTATCCTCGCCGGTTTGGTCAGACAGACGCGTTTCAGCCTTCCGCCATCTTCAGTAGCATACGCAGGCCAAACTGTTCGAAAACAATTCAATTACAGTAATCCCGCAAAATTGTATGGTTTTTAATGTTTACCTTAATCGTCAACATTTAAAAAATCCATTTCGAAAATCACGCAAATATTAGGCTTTTTTTAATAGAGGATTTACCTTCTTAGTTTCTTCTTAGACGCCTCGTTTTGATGAAGCGAATTGCCACTAAATTTTATAAACAAATCATTCATTAGAGTAATAATGCTTTTCATTGATATAGTTTATAGTGAAAACAGTATGTTACGAACCATTTGTTATTGAAAAATGTGGAACTGTCCAATCTGATTAGCGCCACAAGGACGCACGACCATCATGGCTGTCCGTGGTATATTCATCTTATTTTTTTCCTTTTTATACCTCAGACTAGCCAATGCGCAAAAGGCAGTTCGCCATGTCTCTGTACGTTAATTCTTCCATTTAAGTAAGAGTATTTGTAATGAAAATACATCATTGAGATTATGATGATATTAAATTAAGCCCGTTATGATTTTGATGCACACTAATTTTCGATAGATTAAGATTTATTAATGATCTACCAATTCGTACTCATAGGTTTAAGAAATAATACATTCTTTTTTGTTTTTTAATCTTATTTTAACCATAATATTCATAAAACATGCAGAGTTCTGTCCCTACGGTTTATTCGGAATTGGAAAAATCCATTGTTTTGACTAGAAGGAAGGCAATTCAAAACCATTAAGAAGAATATTTTTGTTATAGCCAGGTGATTTGGTGTTAATTACAACAGATAGGACACGTTTTAAGGAAGAATTTACTAACACATGTTTTAATGGTTTTTAAACCACATTGTTTGTACATGCTGAACCGGCATTGGGTCCGTCTTTACTTGCGGGTTTGTTGTTTCATGTACGCACCTTTCAAATAGCTTAGGCTGAATGGGTCGGGAACGGGCCTACCCAGGCTTTTAACCCCCGCTCTGCGTAATATATAGGCTGACTGGCTATGTTGATCGAATAAACCCGCTTGTGAAGACGGACCCAATGACGTTTCAGCATGAGTTTACCGACTCGCAGACCAACACCCAGTTATAAATATTGATTGTTGTTTTTAATGATTTGAAGAATTAAACATATAAAATAACTACCACATTTCATACATAAGGATACAACATAAATGATAGTTATTCAGAAGTCGTGAGATACGGTCTGGTGTGATGTAGGTTCAGAAAAACATTTTCTTTATCGTGCCAACGTTTCGATCTTTATTGAGATCATCTTCAG